TCTTCTACTCGTTTGGCTTCCAGTTAGACGAGTCCTAGTAGCCCCATCTCACTCAGGAGCTGAATCTGGAGTGGTTTTTAGAAGTACATTGTGAGCAGGTAGATCGGATCAGAGCGTCGTGCTTCACAGTTTGAGAACATACATCGTGAGCAATGAACTCACACTGTACAACGAAACCGCAAGGTTGCACGCAGCTACAGCGATTGAAAACAAAATCGCACAGTGTATGTCTGGCTTTAATCATCTAGATTACGATAAGGAGTTTTTAGCTTGTTTAAAGAAACAATGCATAACTTTTGACCCAATAGTTATCTTAATTTGACTTATATTAAATGGTTTTTCAGGCCATTGTACAGCATTTGGGGTGTAATGTGTGGGGCCTACCTTCACAAAAACCTGCCTGTGTAACTATAGAGGGTTGTTTTGTTTTGGCCTCTCAATTAGTCATTAGACCTGCTTTACAGCAGACTGAGCTCCCCTTAAATATGAGAGTTAACAAAGCTATAAGTTGTTGATAGCCAACCCAACAGATATGACACTCACCTGATCAGGCATATTTTTTGGTTTTCTGATACAGGATTTAATCTATAGGGGAGAATTTACCCTAAATTTACAAGTAACTTCATAACTTCTTTCTTAAATCTGCTGATCTAAAGTGGTCTGCTATCAGTTTCCAAAACACCATAGACTTTTTATAATTGCAACAGTGCAGTGCTTACATCAGTGCCCTTGGTGGCTAAAGAGTGCAGATTTGCTTTAATCGTTGGTAAAACTGGGGATATATATATATATTTTTTTATCCATATCCGTTGCATTAGAATTTTTGACTCTTTATTATTTCAAGTGTAATTGCATGGGTAATTGCTTTTTTTATTTCAAAGCAGAAAAAACTACATATTGCAGACAATGAAAGCTTTTTGTCCTGGGGGAATGCATTGTAAAACAGTCAGTGGGAAATATTTTAATTAACCTTAGTTAAGTTTCAAGAGTTTATGTCCAAGTACAAGTCAAAAACTGGAGATCTTTGTAGCTAACCTCAAAAAATGAAACTCTTGTAGATTCATTACACATAGATTAAAATAATAAGCCTTTATTGTATTTTCATTATTATGACTTTCAGATATTAAACAACTTAAAATTCAGTGTAAGTGACAATTGAAGTATTGTGAAAAGGATAAATACGGAAACTAGGGCTGAAAAAATGTGTTGAATTAATCATAATTAATCGACTATTTAATTCTGTAAAAACATTGTCTTTGAAGAACTTTTTGCTATCCAATTATAAATCAATTAATTGAAAACAAATCAATAGATTGATCAATTAAATCAATCAATTAAATTAAATCCATTGATTGATTAATCAATCAATCAATCAATCAATCAGCAAGATAGTCTTTAATTGCAGGCCTAAAAAAATCTTGGTTTTACATTCTAATCAGCTAAATTAACAGTTTTTTCCCTTAGCTTCAAAATGTTAATTCTCTTTTTGGGTAGACTACCAAATGATTGCAAAGACCCCCAAACCCCCATCCCATAATGAGAGTAAGTCATAAAACATCATTGCTAAAGAAGCTGGTGGTTGTATGCTGTATTTGATCGTACTGTTGAAAAACTGAGTGGAAAGTAAACTTGTGTTAGGAAGAAGATGCACCAACAAGAGGGCTGTAGCCTTGAGAGGATAAGGTAAGGATAAGGCTAAATACATTCAAAAAGTTTGGGGATTGAAAGAGTTGGGTGAAGCTACAGTCAGTATTTTAACAAACATATCAAAATTTTTTACTTTTTCCTATGTTATACTGTACTTACCTGGGACGCAGGATTTGGGTTTGTTACTATCTGTAATTTATAATCACAAAAATTACAAGAATTAAAAGTCTGGAATATTTCACTAGATGTGTAATAAATCTATGTTTCAGTTTGTTGTTGGTGTTCCAGTTTTTCAGCTGTACTTGTTTATAAACACCTATGTTCCCTGAAGGAAAAGTATTTTGGTTTGTAGTGATTCCCACTCACTGTCTTTGGTACCATCAGAGTTTGAATTTAATGGTATGAAATGAGATGTTTGAAACCTTTTCTTTACAATCATTTGATTCATTTAGGTTATAGCCCATGAAATTGTGAGTGTTGACACGTTATGTGACTGTATTGATAGCCTCCCTTTGTATGGTTGGCATACAAAGCGCAATGTACAACAATGCTCCTTTGGAATTATCTCTAAGGCTCCAGCCTTCACAATGTGTTTGGGTGTCTTCATATTTGTTCCAACGTTTATGCACACAGATATCTTTAAATCCCACACCCATTTTTTTAAATATGTGTGCTAAGGTCCTCCCTTTTTTTAAGAGAAATGGATTCTTCCAGATGGTTGAGTGTACAGATCTTTAAGATATCCTTTCAACCTCTGTCTGGGTTGCTCTAGCATGCAAACTCAGTTACAATAAAATGTTTATCATAGAGTTTTATAGTGCTTCACCAAGAGTAGACATATCATAATTACATTTTAAGCAGTTCTTAGCATCTTATCCTGCTGTGGTCAGGATTACAGCACTTGCTTATTTCTATGCGAATTCGTACCCCTGACACTTTTACAAACCAAGACAGGATAAAAGAGGATAGCTTTGTGCCAAACACAGCCTTCCTGGTTGTATTATAAAATCCCTTTCTCTCTCTCTCTAAGGTGCAGCCTGACTTACTTACAGATATGCCTCAACATCTCTTTAAATATGTTTTCCATGAAATATCTCTACTTCATCTGAACCTATTAAATAAGTTTACTTTAAAAACATTTCATTCTTTAGAGCAACAAAATTATTTGATATTTGGCAAAACCATCAAGCCCTTTTGACACCTTTGTTAGACACTCTTATATTAGCTCCAAAGGACTTTCCTCCCCCATTTAAGTTCATTAAATACAGTAGGTCGGTAAAACGTCGATATACCATAGCAAAGATTACCAGGGGTGGGTAGAGTACCCAGAATTTTACTTAAATATAGTACTACCTTAACATATTTTTACCCATTAAAAGTGAAAAGTAGTTATTCATGGCATTACTTTTCTGAATACTTTTTTTTCTAGATCATTCTTTTATTAAACCAATATTTTAAGCTGTTAAATACATCCTATTCGTCATTTCTAGTGCCAAATTTTTTCATGGATCCCCTACTCCCCACAAAGCAAATAAAACTATTCTTTTAGATACCGGTAAAAAAAAACAGAATTCATGGCTCAACTTTAGATCTATAGTTTATCTATGAGTCTATCTTCTAGTTTCTCGACACAAAACTTTACCCAGTCATAAAAGTGAATTGCACGCCCAAACAAAAAAAGCTTGGAATACAAACAAGAGGTCTCACTTGAACATAAATTGTATGTATACATGTATGTGGTAATTTTTTGGCCCAAAAAAGATTGTTTTGTTTTGTTTTTTAAGTTTCTCACGTTGGGTAGCATAGCCAGAGAGTTTAGTTAGGTAAGAGTAACAATACTTTCTATTATTATTGCATAAGTAAAAGTAGAATGTACAGTGAAGCAAGACTTCTCATAAAAGTATATGTTGTTAAAAAAAAAACTTACTCAAGTAAATTTAACTGAGTAAATGTTACCACCCACCTCTGCTTATAACAAGAATAATATTTATAAATATGGACTTTTAACCAGCTTTCTTCAATGTTGGCACCTACAGAAAAATACTTTTATTTCAATTTGGGCCGATGTTGTAACCATGACAAAGGAACAGATGCAGAAAAAGGATCTCTGGTTGTAACATAGATGTTCTATATTAGCATGCTGTCATCACTGATTGTCATAGAAACACCTGGAGGTTGTTGAAATATATGCTAGATATGAAAATGTATTTAAATCTTTTTTTTTTTTTACTGTATTTTTGTTTTTATTGTAGAAGAATACTGCTTTGCCATGTTATGTACTTTTTTTGCAGACTGGCATGTTTCATTAAGCCATATCACTTTGATGTATATTTGTAAATGTATGAAACATCATAACGTGCTAAACGAGCTGCGCTGGCTCAGGAGCTAGTTTTATTAGAGCTTCCCAAAGCAAGTTTATGGCATGGAAGGCCCTGTTGGTTGGCTGTTGACCTGGGGACCTGCCAGATTACAGGTGAGGTAAGCAAGACTGCAGAGCTTAAAGTTGCAGATTACATCTTGCTTTGCTTTGGTGGCAGGGCCATTGTTCGCTTGGGTTCTTGCTATATTACTTTCCTGCGGCACAGTGTGATTTGATGTTTTCTTTTTTTGCATCCTGAACATCTTGACCTGCTGCTGCTTAGTTCTGCTTTGTTTTCCGGGGCGAGTCCGTCAACACAAACTGTAGTTTAGTGATCATGCAGAGACTTTGTGCCATCCTATGACTTGAATTCAATTGACTTTATTTCCATAGCACCAATTCATAACACATGCCATCTCAAGACCCTTTACAGAGACAGTTCAACCAGATCATGCAGTCAGATTGGGTTTTTCTATCTGAAGAAAACTGGTTGATTGCATCAACCCATTGACTTGACAGCAATCCCTTACACCAAGCATGCATGCATCCTTCTTTGTGTGATCTTATAAACGGATGTTGTTTTTTTCTGTTTCAGTGGTGTGTTCACATGAGAGATGGAATCAACATATGAGAAATGTTGAATCTTTTAGTCGCACCATTGCTTTATCCATCTCCAGGGGTGCTCTCATCTTTTGTTTCATTTATTTTGAACATCAGTCACAACACGGTGAAAAAGCTTGGTATCTATGACTTAGGGTTCATTCAACATACATTAGAACTACTGTAAATGGTAGATCTGTGCATTTTTTATTGGCTAAATTAGTAGTATTAGAAAACACCCCCACCTAAACCAACTCTGCACTCCACATCCTTCATTCGCAGTCAAACTTTAACTTTTTCCACGTTATAAGCCTCCCGTATAATAACTGTTTCACTAAAAGCATGAGTCTATTTTAATGAAAGTATCTCTTTTAACACATCATTTTTATTTCAGATGTGCCCAAGGATACACTGGCAACCCACTGCAGGGGGAGAGATGCGTGTTTGACAATATAGTCAATGGTAAACCCTTTGTTTTGCTCATGTTCCATAATTATCTTAAGCAGAAATAAAGCTAAATAGGGTGCCTTTGCAGTAAAAATATTTAGTCTTATAAAAGTATTCACAACCCACGGAACTTTTTAAGGTTTTATCACATCACAGCGATAAACACAAATGCTTTTTATTTAAATTTAATGCAGTCGACTAACACATAGTGCTATATTGCCCTGGATTGAAGTTTAAATTTGAGTTTTTTAAGCTAACTTGGCTAGACATTGTATAAGCTGCATATCAGACTGGGAAAGAGCTCGTAGGGCCTGATTTTAAGGCTGGACTATCAGAGTCAGAGGAAATAGTTTAGAACCAATCAGGTAACTCCGGATGTGACACACAACCATCTTTTTTTTTTTAAAGAAAAGCTCTTACAGTAACCAGTTCTTGAAATTTGAAAGATAAATCCAGCTCATACAGTAAAGGCAAACCATAGAAAGTCTTGATTGTTATGGTTACAGAATTTTTTTTTTGCATAATGGGCAACTCTGGGGCAAGCACTCCCCCACTTTGATTGGTCTAGCCCGTGTTAGACCGAAGAGTTTAAGCTTTACGCACTGCTAGTCAGTCTGGCTGGATTTTTAGCCCCCATTACTGTCATGATTTTATCAAGAGCTCAGACCCATATGCAGATAAACTAGTCCAGAAAGACAAGGGAAAAAGTTTAACAGGTTTATTGAGAAGTTTTGTGGAGATTCCAGTGTTGCTCTGAACACTACTCAACCGGAACTGAAAGGTGAGGGGAAGACACTGCGGTTATTTCAGGTTCAGTGGGAGAATTGTTTCTCGAACTTGAAGAGGAGAAGAGGTTGACAGACTCACGTTTCCAGAGATTAGGTTGACTCTTAGACTCAGTAGGTGAGGAATGTGTTAAGGTGTTTGTCTCATACGGTGGAGGGCGGACAGGGTTACCCAGAATGCGGTTGCTTGTAGGTGAACAGAGAAAGACTGACTGCCACTCAGATTTCCTGCGGTACGTGAATGGACTGTTGTGCAGATGAATCCCATGCTCAGTGTGAAGCTCAAATGTTTCCTCTGGGAAAAGTGGATCCAAACCTCCGGTTTGTTCCTCAGCTCAGTTTGAAGCTCAGTTGATCTTTCCAGGGAGAGAAGGTCCGAAAAATCCAGTTTGCAGGATGACTTCCTGCCGAGAGGCAAAGACAAAAAAAAAAATTTAAGACTCAGGTCGACAAAAACTCAGTTTGGCTAGAGTACCCAAAACTGGTAAAACAAAAACTCAGGTTAGACTCTGCTAAGCTAAGCATGGCTAGAGTACCACAAACTGGCAAACACTCTGGCCTCGAGGTAGTGGCAGTCAGCAGCTTAAGAACACTCCGTTAACGAGGTAACCCCTTGCAGGTGTGTGAGTAGGAGAATCGGAACCAGGCACCGCCTGGTGGAGGAAGGATGACAAACACACAAAAAACACAGACCACACAGACTGGAGTCCTAACAATTACATTGTATCCCAAAATCAAGTCAACTCTTTTAGGCATCACAGAACCTAGTTAATAAAAAAAATGCAGCTTATGTTTTACTTAATATGCATAAAACTAGATATCTGTAAAGGTTTCTGAGATTTACTAGACAACATTAGAGAACAAGCACCATCATGAAGAAGGTCTGAAGAAGAAAGGTCTGAAGAAGCCTGCTTAGATTGACTTTCTGCAGCACACCATTTTCATAGAGGACAGTCTTAAAAGAAAACCAGTTAGATGAGATTGGGGCTTAAGTTTCATGTGTCAGCAGAAGATAGAACTACACTCAAACTGGGATTGTTTAGGGAAAAAAAACATATTAGTGTAATTACATGGCCTAGTCAAAGTTCAGATCTAAATTCAAACTTTTGCTCCCAAGTGAATGTTTCTACATCATATTGACATATGAAAAACGATTTAGATTTCTGTTTTTTAACAATAGAGGTACAAAGAAATAAGGTAGAAAACTGAATATTTCTTTCCAATGTTGAGGAAAAATCTTGTCCTTCTGTCGGAAAAAAACCCAATAAAACAAATGCAAAATGATGGCTTTTTAATAGGACCGAGGGTTGTGAATTCTATTTCTCTAAAAAAAGGTGATGCTTTCAGTAACTTTATTATTTGCTGTTTTTGTTCCAGGGAACTGCTATAGCTGTGACCAAAGAGGTAGCGAATCCTGCAATAGTGGTGTGTGCCAGTGCAAGGTGATTGGACCATATAACAGCAGAGCATTTGTTTGGAAACCCTATTCTTGCATAAATTGACTGGTTGTAATTTTAACAGATGAATGTGGCGGGTCCATACTGCTCCACCTGTAAGCCTGGAACCTTTAATCTCAGCCAGACAAACAAAGATGGCTGCTTGTCCTGTTTCTGTATGGGTGTCACCACGCAGTGCACCAGCTCCACGTACTACAGAGATGTGGTAAGTTAGTTTCACCTGTAGGTCAGCCAATCTATCCCAGGGCTTTATGCTGAGCTGAACTCCATCTCAAGATTTGCAGGCCTTAATTGTAAAGTTAATACATTTATGGAACTTGTTTGGCAGGAGAAATCTTCTTTGTCTTTGCAAAGACCTCTCTAAACAAACACCTTTTCTGTGCAGATTTCCTCCGTGTTTACTCCAGGAAACTTCCAAGGATTTGCTCTGGTGAACCGTCAGAGAACCAATCGTGTATCCACGGGTTTCACTGTGGAGATTTCCACTGAAGGCACTCAGCTTTCCTATAGCAACTTCAACTACCTGGGACAGGGGCCACACTACTGGCAGCTTCCAGATGTTTACAAAGGAGACAAGGTCAGTGGCTAGAAAGAGAGCACAGCAGTGAGATCAGAGGAAAGCTAAAATTTAGATAGCAGCAGTGTTCTTACATGGGACTGTGCAGCACATCTGAAACTTGTAGACCACTTATTTCCCTGCAGTCTTTTGATGTTGCTCCCCTTTCTTACCCCAAGTCGTGCACATTCATACAAACTGCTTATTTCAATCTCTCTGCCATTTCTTTGCCTCAGTTTCTGCATTTTCCTGGCTGTTAAATCCTCGCCATTCTTACAACACTGTGTAAAATCATAACTTTGGTCTATTTCTTCTACCTCCGTTTGTTTTCTGTAGAAAAATTCGTACTGGTCTCGTGTCAGACGAGCAGATCAGGTACGGTGACAACAAGGAATGGTTCTGGTGTTGTAATTGATTTTGGATCATGAAATCCAGCATCATGTCAAAAGGTTTCATCCCTAACCGTTTACTTTTATGCATTTTTCCAAAGCATGCCTGTTATTTTGGGGTATGGATTAGACTAGGACATGGTTTGTAAATAAACATGGAGTGAGCATGAGGCAGATGAACCTGCATATTCCACACAGGATTAGGTTTCTGCATCGCATCACATGAGCCGTGTAAACGGATTGATCATTAATGCTCCATTTAAGAGCTTCATAAAGTTTAACCTTCCCTTTGTAACGCTGACACAACACTGGCAAATACCATGAGCTTAGTGAAACAGAGAGTGATCAAAGGGCTTCCTTCATCTACACCAATAGAGAGACCCGATCTTACCAGAGGAGCAACTAAGGAAGGATGCTTCTGTTTGGAACAAAATGGCCACCGAACATAAAGCCAACCAAAGGTCCAAAAGACACAGCCAGGTATTTGGTTTAAGCTGCAATGTAGTGTTTACCTTCTAACACATTTAACCAGAACAAAGCACCCTACACACTTGACATCTTTGGTAGAAATGTCTGAAAAAAAAGTTAAAATTTTATTTGATGCAGTGAGATAATCCAACAACTAAAATATTTGAAAAATGCCAACCTTTAATTTAAGTTGATCCATTTAAAGGGAATAAAATCCCTATTGAGGAACATTTATTTTAAAGGGTCGGTCGCAATTTTCAGCCTCTTTACCGCAGCAGGCGAGGTATTGGGTCAGAATTCAGCCAAAATGGCAGATGCATTATAAATACTTACTTTAAAAGATTTATTAAAAAGACACACATGTAAACAATTCGCCACTGACATTTTAGCATGGAGATTTAACACCATGTTAATTGTGTTCATGTTTCCTCTCTTGCTTCTTCTGCAGCTGTAGATTCTATCTTACTCAAATCTGGGCCTGTATCTGTGCGCTCATGTCAACTTTTTTTGCATTGAGGATAGGATGTCTCAGGGTGTCGCCGGGTTTGAAGTGCACCCTGAGACAAAAATTGGTTCACCCCAAAAATAAGCAACCCAGAAACAAGACAGACAATGTGGTTTACGCCGCTCGGTGACCAGATTTCTGGTCAGAGACGTATAGTCAACGTAACTTAGTGGAGGTTCTTTTCCCAGGTGGATAATTTAACCCAGTGGTTCCCAACGATTTTCTTCTGGGCCTCCCTTTGGATTACAATAAAATTTCCACGCCCCCCCCC